AGTCTAATGTTACAACTAATCATGGATCCCAATAAGTACAACCTCTTCAATGGTGAATCATTTTATAATGGTCTGTATAAAACTAGATGGCAACACTGTTGTATATCCTCCTTATTACTTAATTAGGTAGGATATTCTGAATTGAATCAACATGCGAAGCAGTGTCCATTTATTATCTTTATTGGACCGTCTTCCTCCACCACCTCGTTACATCTTTCCGTTCTAGAACAAAACACACCTTCTCTTAACGTCCTCCTCCCGTCACGTCATCACGTAAGCCCACGCAACATCCCAATACATGACAAACACCATGATTGCTAATGTGAAGTTAATTAACACCTTTGCCTCTGTCAAAACACAAATTCTCATATTTATGGTTCTCAAATGTTTTATCTTCTACATACAAAAATGAGCTACATTTATGCATTTTGTTAAAGCACGAATGTGCAAATGTGGATCAGCATTATTTGAAAATGTTTTCACAGGTGCTGTGCAACTAAGTCTGTTTTAGACATTGCTGTAGTGATGGTGTTTGTGAAAGTATATGATGTAAAAGGAGCATACAACCTTTCAGTGTGTTCACAGAGAAATAAAATGAATCAATTGCTATTAATTAAATTTGGTATTTTGGACAAAAAATATATACAATCTGCAATTTTTGCCAATGTTATGTTTTCCTATCAGTAAGCAAAACTTACTCTGATTTTTTTTGGCCTTCTTCTTCTGGCTGTGCATCGCACCCTCCTTCACTGCTTTCTCCCGCATGGCTGTTTTCTTTGATTCATTCTCATGCCTTTATGTACAGGTAACATATCTGAGTTTCACGTCTCTCTGATTAGCTCTACATTGAGTCACAATCTGAATTCTGACCTGGCAGCGCAATCATCACAGTGTTGTTTTTGTTTGTGTTTGATTTCCTCCTCAACTTCCTTCAGCTCCTGCAGCACAGTTTAATTTGACAGCCACTGCTCAAGGTGAAAGGACAAAACGAGTGAGAGAGGTGTTGTGTTGTGTTCACTAAACTTCTTTAGCTTTAGGCTCTGTCGAAAGGTAGGTTTTTCCTTTTTAAGGGTATCCAACTGATCATCCAGGAGGGTGAGTTTGGTCAACAGCTCATTGAGGAGTACGGATGTCTAAATGTACAACACATAAAAACATTAACAAAATAGAAGAAAATAAAACAGATAAAAAAATAAATAACTCACCCTATACAGCTTGCAGTTCAAAGTGTCTATGGCCTTCTGAGTCTTTYRTATACTTGACGCCTGTGAATCACCGCATATTCCTCTTCTCTGCCTTGCCAGCTTCCCTTCTAAGTTTGAGATMTGAACACATTACAGACTCGTGACATAAACTGGTTTGTGTGGCCAAAAGTTTCAGCAGTGTTGGGCACAGTTCCCCTAAAGCACTTACAGTATAAGGGAACTAATTTCCTGATTAGTGTTTTAGGGCTTTTGCTAATTTCTTAATTCATTAGTGGATTAACCCTTGCTAAATTTATGGGATAAATTTATATGGAGGTAAACATGAGAACTATAAACAAACCTAGCAACTATGATACTATTTTTTATTCATCTATGATTATTTAAAAAAATTGCAATGATCATGATTAAAATATTCCATTAGCATTTTTTCTGTTTTTGTATTTAAATTGATGTCTGGAAATCACCTGGGGGACCCTCATTTGATGTTTTGTGGCCCATAAATTGGTTCAGACCCCAACATTGGGAACCACTTCACGAGATGAAATATTAATATTCTGCACACAAAAATATTGTCTCATGTTGACTCAGAGGAATGTTCCATGGGTCAGCTGGGATTTTAGTGCTTTAGAATTAGATTTTGCTAAATGTTTAAGTGTGTTAGTGCTTTAGAATCAGGGGACCTAAATATTAAAGTTTGTGCTTTAGAGTTAGTGCAACTAATTTTTAGATAAGTGCTGCCCACCACTGAGCTAACGCCTCCAGGTCCTTAGCAAATATTTCTAGGCAAAAAAAAAAAAAAAAAAAA